GACACCCTTTAAAGGCAGTAACGCTTAAAACCATTCCCTCATAATATCCCTCGTAGCATTTTCGCATTTACAACCACACATTTGAAGCACTTTCTAATTTACCCCCTAATACTGCACTAGTAAAAGCTGACCGGTATTTGACACGACCACAATGAAATCGACACCACACATGCTGGAGATGGGGAGAGCAAAAAAACCAATTAAATAAAAATGATTTTATTGCTAATATTAATTATTGAATGAAACGTTATGATACTGTGCCTTAATTTTTTTCAATCACATCAATTCCAGTCACGCCATTAAGTATGAAATGTGAGTTCGAGGTGTATGTCTACCATATATTTGTGTATATATGCAAACAAATACATTATATTGTACATATATGCAAAATATCAAACACAAACGCTTTGCCGTGAGGTCTTTTCGACCGCTCATTCCATTTGACACAGCAGCCTGATACTTTGTATAACAATTTCTGTTCTGCTCAGTAATTGAATTCTACAAAGATTTGCTTTATTGTTGCCGCATTGCAAATTCGCGCGTGTCATTCGTCGGTTACCAGCCGAAATGCTCCAATGAGTAATCAAAAATTTCACTCGACGGGTGCCCTATCTGAGACGTAACCGCGACTAATATTTGAAAGAGATAATCTTCAAACGCTAAATGCCAAATGAAGTTCTTTCAAATGATAGTAAGCGATCTCCATTAAATTCGAGTTTTTTGTATTTTTTCTTTAAACAAGTAAAAGTAAAAACCCTTTATTTTCCTTCTTCAGTGCACACATATTGAATTTCTATGTATGCTTATTCACACATATAATGGCATAAAGAATTTGCGCTCGGCTAGCAAAATATGGGCAAATATTCAAGCGACAAGTTCATTCAAATCGCCTACGGAAAACTAGTACACATATGATACAAACATACACACAGAAATAACCATGTAGGTATCTGTACAAACTTACTCATGCATTGTGGTATATACGTAGCGGTATTTTCCTTAGTTGGAAATAAAATTAATTTAATATATTATTTATGCCAATTTCTCAAAGATCTTTAAGTTTTCCTTAGCTGGATGTGCTTGGTATTTGGTGTCGCTTTATTGGCAATCGCTGACCTTGAACATTCAATATTTTCATTAATTGAGGTTGATTGAGTTTTATACGCAATATTCTATATAATTCGTTGTGGCGAAAAATTTCAACACTTCAATTTAGGTAATAGGAAACAATTAACATTTTAAATTCATAAAGCAAGACACACATGGCAAAATGCTCAACTGCGTCTTCAAAAAACCATACAAATTTGTGCTGAAATATAAGAATAAGGAATGTTTACGTATCTGGATTTTAATTCTTTTATCTTATTTTTTTTTTTTTAACGCTGCCACAAATCCTAATTGGAAATAATTCAGGCAGCGCAAACTTCCAACTACTTTTGTATATACTTCTTAAGAAGCCTGACCTCTTTGCGCCTTTGAATGAATTAATACCAAAATACATTTGGGGCTAATTTTTCCAATGACTGAGCGTTTAGTTTTGTTAGGGTTTGTTTAGAAAATATCAATTTGGTAATCTCCACTCGACGTTTTCTTTACTAACCTTTGGTACAAGTACGAGTAACGTATTAATTGTTGACACTGTACTACTCTCTTTCAAGTTTTACTTCATTCCCGGATGATATTTGCGGCCTCTTTTATAATAACGATTTTTTTTTAAGAGCAAATCTTAAGTAAATTACGTCAATCCAAATCAGGGAAGTGAAAATATGTCTTTTAAAAGTAATTTTTGCGCTGAAGTTCCATAATTTCTCCTAGACCCAAACTGCTGTTGTTGTATTTTGTTGTATTCACTCAACTCTGCTTCTCATAAGTATTCTCTCGAATACTACTTCGAAAAAGATCACCAGCAGGCTTTTAGGATCAGAGGACGGGAGAGATTTGTTTGGTTTCGGAATCATTATAACCTTCGCCATATATAGAAAAGTTTTCTAACCTCAAAATTGCTTTATAAATTTGATACTATTCGTAAATATTCTGTCAATTTTATCACAATCTCATGACTGTTATTGGTACTTATTGGTACAGTCAAAAGTACTAATAGACGAAATTTAAGTTAAGTAGTTTCTGCAAAGATCACTTTTTTGCTAATGTGACATCATTTAGCGTCGCTCTCTTGACTCTTGGCAACTGATTAATTAGGAAACTTTAGCAATTCATTTACTATTAAATATTAGTAATTTGCTATAATACACAATAGGTAATTAAATTAATTACTCAATTGATGTAGTATATAATTAACAATGAATTTATTCAAAATTCAAGTGCAATTCTGTGGAGCGATTAACAAGAGAGAAATACATAGTTTAAATATAAAATAGTTTTTTTCTATAAATAAATAAGAAAAAAAAATCGTATTTCATACGTCCTAATTTGAAATCCCCCGTTGTGAGCGCTTGGGGCTACGCAAAATTTCGAAAATGAATTTCGGTGTCATTATGTCAGTAAATATTGATAAGTGATTATATACTTTAAGTCAACAAAAATCATGCTAGTTCAGCCAATTAAGCTTGATTAAAAAAAAGACGGAAATGAGATTATTTATGAAACTGCGCTGATTCTGCTAAATTTGATAAGACTTTAGTTTTGCATAGCGAAAAGTGAAATTACGTGTGATTAAGAAGCATTAATGAGCTTTCAAAAGTATTTTTAGTGGTTTGTCACATGTTTTCCCTATAGAAAACAGAAAAAAGTTTATTACAGGCGTTGAATTACACTTAATGATACTTAAACTTGTTATGAAATTTAATTTCAACTGAAAGTTGCCAGACTGTTTTTAATTCGTGTTATGCCTATCAGCTTCCTTACGCTGATAAGTGCTTTACTACTTGAAGCTGCTTTCATTTAAACACGTATTATATTTATTAAATTTTGGCATGCCGTCTAATAATATGTGTGTTTTAATGCAAGTTGAAAGGCGCTGCTGTAGGAGTCTTGTCCAGACACCAGCTTATCAGCGAGTGTTCATACTACGCATTATATATTCGTGAATAAAAACGTTATTTAAGTGAACTGTTCATTGCATTTTGAAATTTTAGATGCTACAATTAATCATTTAACTAACTTTTCAAAAAGACCCTTTCAAAGACAGTTTTAAAAATCAAAACTAGAATTCGGTTTAACCATAATACAATCACGTTATCTTCTTCTTCGAAGTATTTTATCCATCGGGGTTTCAGTTATCACAAAATTGTCCGGAAAATGCTCATACAGGTCTTTAGTAGACAAACAATGGATGAATGAATTCGACTAATTTATGATAACCAGCTTAAATTTTTTGAGGAGAAAACTCCAAATGGAATCATGTTGTTATTTTATACATTGATATCGTTCGAGCATTTAATTGCGTTTGTGAAAAAAATCAATCTACAGATTGATGTACGATTCACTTAATATTCGATGAGCTGGCATGCCGCCTTCAATGGAAATTAATTGATAAGAGTGTAAGCCACTCGGCGCGGGAATTACTTATCGATTACGCTGTGCTTCAAGTGCAAAAATTCACACAATTACGCAATCGATTTGGGGAGATTTATTAAATGTGTATTTAATTCCGATAACACATATATTTATCATAATTTGTTCCTTTATTTTGTCAACAACATAGCAACGTATTTTACTTGTTTGTCTAACGCAAAACAGCAGTTGAAGTGGAATTAGTGATTTACCTTTGAGTTTAATTTGGTATGCAATCAGTCGTGCTTGCTAAAGCCTTAAAGAGTTTAATAAAAAAAAATTATATAATTTCGGTGGTATCTGCAAAAGAATGTACAAAAAATTAGATGTTATTGTAATATGTTTTGAAGCCTTCTATGACTAATCCCTAATACCAATTTGATGAATGACAATTTTTTCCTGATTTAGATAATGACAACTGCTTTTTGGGGATTTTTATTGATAAAGAAAAGCATTGACGTATTTGTTAAGGGTGCGCCGCGATAACAAAAAATTACATTGATATGTCGCACCTGACGTTGGTATATTTAGTATGTTCACATAAAACTCGTGTGAACATAAGCAACTGAATTTTATTTTTTTTTTTCTAAATAAGATTAGATATTAAATATTGTGTCATAGTTTGCAGGCTTTTTGCGTGATATTCTGCGAACCATCACTAACAATTTTAACCGATAAACCAATCTCTTGGTACGGAAATGTTTTAACAAACTACATTAAGAAATATTTGAGAGGCAAAAAAATATTTTCGTATTTTTAATCAATTTCCACCTTTTCTTATATATATAATGAATAAAAAAAGTAGACATTATTCGATTAGTGTAAAACTTTGATCAATGTAAATCGAAATTTCGAAATTTCCAGAACGGAATCGAGCGACCCATTGTTTTGGTACATGTAGTAGCCAGTGCTGCGATTTCATGTATTTATATAATAAATATTTTATTGTATAAATGATTATAAATAAAATAAATAAATGATATAGCATCGCCGTCCGTTTTTATACAAAAATTTCGATATACAGCGTATTTCTTAATTATTTTCACTCATTTTTGAACATCTGCAACTTGTTTTCAGCTTCCCCGATTTAAAATTTTTTTGGTGAAACGAAATTTTAAATCTCACCTTTCCAGCACCATATCGTACCATGGACACATTGTGATTAGTGCCACTGTAGATATACGACTGCAACAACATCTATTGACAAAATACGAACAGACTTTTTCGACTACCAATATTTAATACTGAGGCTGAGAGGCAAGTCGTTTTGGGTGTTGATTATGACACAGGAATTATTCTATAGTAAAGCTCTTTTCCATATTTACTGTTTTTTATTTCAGCTTGTATATATATATATATACCTTTTTTTTTTGGTTACCTCATTCATTGCAACAACAACAAACTTACATAATTCCTTACTAAGTTCAGTAATTCTTACAACATTTAACTGACTAATAATCGCTCTCTCTCTTTTTGTCACGCTGTAGGATGGTCGACTTTAAAGTGCAACAGCGACGCTTTCGCACCAACGAAAAAACAATTGTTAGCACCATATATGGACCCGTTAAAGGTGTTAAACGCAAGTCCATCTATGGCGATTCGTATTACAGTTTCGAAAAGATACCCTTCGCCAAGCCACCGGTAGGTGAGTTGCGCTACAAAGCACCGCAACCGCCAGAATCCTGGATAGAAGTGAGAAGCTGTACGTCGCGTGGTCCAAAGCCACTACAAAAACATTTTGTATTCCAAATGACAGATGGCTCAGAAGATTGTCTTTACCTAAATGTTTATACAAAGCATGTAAGTCTAATACCAAATAAATTAATTAACAATAAAATATGAGGTTAATGCAAAGGCCTCATATGTTGCTTTTTTATTAGATAAATCCGGATAAGCTTAGGCCGGTTATGGTGTGGATTTATGGCGGCGGTTTTCAGTTTGGTGAAGCTTCACGTGAACTCTATAGTCCGGACTATTTGTTGCGCGAAGATGTCGTCATTATTTCAATAACCTATCGGCTAGGACCCTTCGGTAAGATGTTGTTTCAGTTAAATCTTTTTAGCATTATATATATGTTCCAGATATTACATATACTCTTTGGCTTTCTGTCTCAGGTTTTCTGTGCATGGACAATCCCGCTTTCGACGTGCCAGGTAATGCCGGACTAAAAGATCAAGTGATGGCGCTACGTTGGGTCAAGGCAAATTGCGAACGTTTCGGTGGCGACAGCAATAATATAACAATTTTTGGTGATAGCGCAGGCGGTGCATCAGTCCATTACATGATGATCACCGATCAAACTCGCGGTCTCTTTCATAAGGCGATTTCTATGTCTGGAAATACATTAACGCCATGGGCAGTTACGCCACAACATAACTGGCCATATCGTCTGGCAGTGGCTGCTGGTTATACTGGAGAGGACAGTGATCAGGAGGTTTTTGCTTTTCTAAGTAAGGCAAGGGGTGCCGATATAGTTAAGGCTAATGAAGACTTATGTTCCGACGAAGAGAAACGCGAACGCATTGGCTTTTCCTTTGGCCCAGTGATCGAGCCCTATGTGACAGACCATTGTGTGGTGCCCAGAAAGCCAATAGAAATGATGCGCACCGCTTGGAGTAATCATATACCAATGATCATCGGTGGCGTGTCGAATGAAGGACTGCTGTTGTATTCTGGTAAATTCCGACGTTTTATGTTTCAATTATTTCAAAATTACATTGTGCTGTATTAAATATATTTTACAGAAACGAAATCTAACCCCAAGTTACTTAATGAACTCGGCGACTGTCGCTTTGTGGTACCACTCGAACTCGGCATGGATCGCGAAAGCGAATTGTGCAAAGAGTACGGCATGCAATTGAGACAAGCATATTTTGGCGACAAAGAGCCCAGCTTAGAAACTTTACACGAGTATCTATTGGTAAGTTAAACAGATATCAAATGGCTCCTCGGGAATAAATTGTTTAATTTCTACTACTTGAATACTTTACATAGATGGTTTCACATGAATACTTCTGGTTCCCCATCTATCGCACAGTATTGTCGCGTATGACATACGCCACCGCGCCCACCTATTTGTATCGTTTCGATTTCGATTCGAAGCATTTCAATCACCTGCGTATACTCAGCTGTGGCAAGAAGGTACGCGGCACGTGTCACGGCGACGATCTCTCCTATTTGTTTTATAATTCTGTTGCACGTAAGCTGAAAAATCATACACGTGAGTACAAATGTATCGAACGGCTTGTGGGTATGTGGACACACTTTGCCGCGCACTCCGATCCCAACTATGATCCAGACCACGCAGATTTATGGCAGCCTGTAACGAAAGCCTCTTTGGAGAAACGAAAATTAAAGTGCCTTAATATATCCGATGAACTGAAAGAGATCGATGTGCCAGAGTTGAAGAAGTTGTTGGTTTGGGAGAACTTCTACGGTCCGGATCAGCTTATATGAATACTGGGAACCACAAGAGCTTACCTATAGATTCAACGAACTTCCACATCAAGAGAGGCGAATCAACTTATCATATATGTCATTGCTTTAACTTTTAAATTTCTAAAGGATTTTGCATTGCCAAGTCAAAGGTATGTACTGTTAGTAAATATTTAAACGTCAAAGACGAAGCATAAAAGGCAATTTGGCTCGAGACGACTTTTTACAGAGCTCAAGTAAAATAATAAACACATTTTATTGAAAATATTTAAGCAAATTGTATATATTATAGTAAGCTGAGGCATAAAAATATTACCTATTAAAAGATTTAAGAAAGCTTTGATAAAATTGAAACCAATGTATTAGAATGAAAAAATCTGCTGATTAAAAAATTTGGGAGCACAAATTCAAAAGTTTATAAATATGGAGGTCCTCATAAATGTTATAGTTATGTTAAAGTTAAAGCAGTTTTACCACCTCCTTAAAGCATTGCCGAAGCTTAAGGTATAAAACATTTTTATCGTACAAACCAATGAAAAAATTTTGCAAATCTACGCTTCAAAGATACCACCAATTTTAACTGTAATTAATATAAACTAAAATCTGACATATTCTAACTACAATTTATATTTTTAAATAATTTATAAAAATAAGAAGGTCATGCCTTTCATCATTGCCTCGAAGCAAATATTTTAGTGTATGTAAGTTTTTTTTTTTTAATTTCCGAAAGCCAAAACATTTTAATAAGAGCTTCAGAGCTTTTCGCATGAATTACTAAGGAGTCTAATCTCAAGTTCGTAAATCCAAAGTCATGACATATTTGAAGAATTCGCAAGCAAAAGGATTTCAGAAAAAGTTTAAGAGCTTACCGAAAATTTAACAGAGGGAATAAAACTAGCAAATTTTTTAAAAATAGCTTAAGGCTCTTATAGCTGAAATTATAAGCGCGTACAAATTTTACATTGAATACGAAAGTTATTAACCGCAAACATATTTCAAACACGCAATTAACATTCTGGCAACTCCAATATAACACAGTTATTTTTTAAAGTCTTCCAAAAGTGAAAGTCGCGAAGTTTGAAAGCTTTAATGTATGCTTTGAAAACGCAGAAACTTTTGAAAGCTGGAAAGCTTTCTATAGACACAGTAGAGAGCTCGAAAATGTTATTTAAATGTTTAATAGTAATAATTTATACAAATGACAAAAAGTTTGTATTGATTAAAGCGAACAAAGTTTTCGTATTGGTAAATATTCGTTGTTTTTAATGTGTGTGAAGTCTAGCTTTTGTATTATATAACAAAAGCGTTAAGTAAAATTTCACAAAGATGCTATTAAGAAAGAATTTGAACGCTTTAATTTGATTGTGATCTACTTTTGTATTGACCATTATATAGAATATGTCTTGTAAAACTTCCAGAAAAAAAGATAGTGAAAATAAAACAAAACATGAGCTTTGAAGGTCGCCAGAAATAAATATATGTACCTATGAATATGAAGACAAAAGTACCTTTTTATAAAAATGTGACACTATGATGAACAAAATGTGATTTTTAGAGCAAGTGAACTAACCTAAAAAAGATGGCAACTCTGCAGCAACACAGTAAGTCGGACACAGAGGACTAGAAAAACAAAAGAAATTTGTGTACGCAACTAATTGAAAGTATGTACTACAGGTCATCAAACTAAAGCATATCTTCTAGCTCAAATCTGCTTCTCCTATAACTAAGCCCGCAACCTGGGTTTCTATTTAATAGAAGGCTAGAACTTTTATTCAGGAAACGATTGTGTCGTTTGTCGCGCCAATTGAATACAAGCAAACATACAAATTCCATGTGCAAACAACTTCCTTCAATAGATATGTATATTAATACATATTGAAATTTAGTAACTAAAATTAACAATTGTTACATATATAAAAATATAAAAATGTGTATTTTTTCATGACTGCTCCAGAATAAATCTTTGTAATTTTGTATATCTTGAAATATTTTTATAAAGTTTATTACTATGGACAAGCATACCACTAACTAAATAGATTGTGATGCTAATATATATTGAAAAATATTTTGCTATGAATGTAATACATTAAAAAATAATAAATGTTTAAATAAATAAAAATACATTTCGCAGAAGAAAGAAGTTATTGTCGATTTTCTCGAAACTTGTGGTAAGTATGCCCACTTTCTGAAATGAAGGACACCAACAGATTGCGGAGACAACCAAACTTATTTCCAGATATGATCCGGCAGATATGTTAAATCAAGTATCAGCATATCTACGATGGGATAACGGAGCACCCACAAGCTCCGGTAGCTTTTTCTGTCGCTTTGGGTCAAAATTATACTTATAAGGCTACTTTCTGATATCAGCAGAGTTTATTTCATGAAAGAGTATTATCGTTATAAAATAATATCAGCAAAGTAAAGGCGACAGCTCTATTTTTATGCCGTTTTAAAATAATTGCAAAAAAAAAAACGGTTTCAGCATATTTAGATCATGAGAATATCTGGGAAGTAGTCTGGGATCTTAAAATCTTGATTCTTTTATACATTATACTATAGACATTAATCATTGTAAGAATGTTACCACGTTCTCTTTCATACATCGTTTTAAGATTTCAACGTAAAAAATGTAAATATTCTCACAGCCAAAAATGTCGAAATTTAGCCATTTTAAGTGCTCTAGACTGATCTTGTATAATATTTCTGTCACCAGAATGATTTGCTCGATCTTCACACAAGCATTTGATTCCGATCGTTCAGCTTGTATGGCAGCTATTTGATATAGTGGTTCCAACAAATTACAAGCTTCGCAGAGAGGAAAGATTATCAAAATTGCAGGTTGATATCTCAAAAACTGAGGAACTAGTTCACGCATTATATTACAAACAGGCTAAGTCGACACAAGTCATCACGCTAATCGTTTATATATATTACATATATTTTGTAGGGTCTCCCCTCTCTTCTTTCTGGGTGTTATAAACTTAGTGGCACACTTAGTATACCCTTTTCAAGCTGCAGTCCTAAGACCAAATCCATTTGCTTCTGTCTTTCGCAGTGTAAATAAGTTTCATTCGATCATGAAATCTGCTAATTTAACATTTATAAATATTTAAATATATATGTATACGTATGTATAAGCATAACCACGCGCATAGTTTGCGAAGAAACACCAATTTCAACATTATCAAGTCTGCGCCAGCGATAAGAAACGCATAAGCAAACCGCAGAGCGATTAACTCCAAATACTTGTACGAACGAATAGAGAATGAGGCAGAGACCACATAAATCAGTGATGTTATATAGCCTTCGATAGCTCAGTTGGTAGAGCGGTGGACTGTAGAAAGACAAGCGCTAAGTAGACATCCATAGGTCGCTGGTTCAAATCCGGCTCGAAGGAATCACAGCTTCTTTTTACTGCAAAAGGATTGCATTTTTAATCAAACACAAAATGTAATTATAAAATATAAAGTAATGATTACAGAAATTATATAGCTTTCCACCTTGTCAACTGGTCAAAGCAATTTGGCCTTCACTCATCAATAAATTGAAGATAGCATTAAAGATTGCAGCCGCAAATCGTTTTAGAACGGTTGCCGCATTTGTGATAAATGCAAATTAAAGCTTTTAATAATGAGGAAAATGTAGAACTGAAGAGATTTAGTAGAGTTTAAGCACAAAAATCAATTTTGAAAATTGCTGCCTCCTCGTTGAAACTTGTGTGCTATAAGCATTGATAATATACACGCATAATCTAATATGTGTGTCAAAGATCAGAAGACAATACATCTAATATGCATACATTGTTTTTAATGGAACAATTTTTCAAAATTTTATTTCTGAAATCATATAGAAAAGAAAATGTTTACCCTTTTTGTAACAAATATGTACATAGAAGCACACATATATCTGAACTTCCACGCAGATAGCCTTGAACATGAACTGTGTTGAATTGTAGAAATAATCGTACAAGCGCTGATGTGACGACACTCACTATGGACGCACAAAACTAGTTTCTCACGCAACTACAAACATAATTGAAGAAAAAATATTGAATTTATACTTAATGACTGGTTTTATTAGTGTATAACAATTTTCATCAGATAAAAAGTAGGTACCTTTACTTCTAAATATAGTCTGTTACATAAGAAAAAAACTGCTATGAGTTGCTGCGTTTTAATTGGAATAAAAACTGGGTATTAATAAAATTAGGCTACTATAATTGTGTGAAAATTTATAGCAACTTGCGAGCAATTTGCAATAATTCATTATTTTGTTAACGAGTTTTGCATCACTGGAGTTTGTGGTGATTGAGTAACCACAAACCATCAAATAATTAAAATATAGAACACATAGTTTGAGCGTTCTACGAACTAAGTTGTAAAAAATTATTAATCAACAATATTAAAATATTGTATGCCCAAGTGAAGCTAATGTTCGAAAGTCAGCATTTTATAACCGATTCAGTTCACTTGTTATCTTCTATATTAAACCCATTGTAATATCCACTTTTATTTACCGAAAAAACGAACAAAACACATACTTGGAAATAGTTATGTAATTATCTATTGTTATTGGCATTTATTAAAAACCACAATGTACAATCTTTTGCTAATATTTTTTGTTTTTTCATGCACATAAGTTAGCGAATTATGAAATTAATAAAATATCATTCAATTGTGTACATTATGCAATTAGTTAAATTTTGTTTTGAGATTTAACAACTCGTTGTTTTTTAATTAAGGCGATTGAATTCAAAATGCGTGAAGGGGCTAAATGTTTTTGTTGTACATAATATTGCTTAATATAATTGTGTGTGATATAATACTGTGTGCAAAAAATAGCAAGACTTTTCATTTAAATTTCGAACGAAAACCCATTCGAGGAAATATCTTTTTCTATGATTGTCAATGACATCCACGCCAAATGTCCCATTAAAATAATCACTAGTACACACTTGTCTTTCTAAAATACCTAACGTGCTTTCGATGAATTTTAAGTAAAGTGAAATTGTTCTGCAAAGAAGGATTCTTCAATTTTAAGCGCGGAATCTAATTTCGAAACATGCCGAAACATTCAGACTGTTGGAAAAAGCTTTCGGTGATAATTGTTTGTCGCGAGCAAGTGTTTTTGATTGGTATAAATTATTCAAAGAGGTTCGAGGACGCATTGACGACGAGCCACATACAGGACGCCCATCAACATCAGCTGATAATCAATACGTCAGTAAAATAAAAACTGGTGCTTGAGAATCAACGATTAAGAGTCGGTGGTCTTACGGGCATCCTTGGAATATCGGAGGGATCAGTGAAAAACAATTTAAAAGATCATTAAAGCACTTTTGGTTCCAAATTTTTATTCTACCAATCTGCATACTAGAAAGACGTAATAGAGACATTTTCGCGTACTTGAAAGTTCAAGAACCATACCAAGTAAGAGCGGTACAGCGGATGTGGATCTTAAAGTACTGGATACCACACCTTCCCATTAAAGTAGTAGTTAGAGCAATGTTTTGGGCAAAAACCAGTGCTAGTTCTACATGGACAACATGCATCTTAACACGAAGAAATCACATTGAAAATAGAGTGAAATTAAGACTTGTTAATTCAATTTGTTAAGGAAGTAGTCTCTCGTAGATAGGCAATAAAGTATTGTCGTCCTGTTAATACAACCAAAATGAGACCCACGGATGTTTTCGAGGCTTACTTGTTGTATGCAATCCAGATAATAAATTACTCTACTTCGTCATCAATTTGGTTAAACAACATAAATATAACTTACTGGACGGACATAAGGTTATTCACACACACACATCTGCCCAATCCAACTTCTTAGACGGAAAACCAATATTCGAAAAGTGGTCATCAAGATGTTACATGCTTTTACAAGAAAAAAATTAATATTTTTAATCTACAGACTTAGAAGCTAGGACTACTTTTGGTTATGAATGTGCCTTTTAAAGAACAATGGTTCTAAACGATGACGCTGAAAATTTGGAATTTTATTGCGACTAGTTTTGATCACAACTAATTGAGAGCGGCATAATTGTTCCCCGCCGACCAAAGATACGACCTAACAGATTCCAAGGTAAATGGAGTTTGCTATAAATGATGGCAACTATTCAAGTCATTAACTGTTTGGTCGCGCTCAAATTGTGATCGCCACTTAAACAAAGCTTTTAAAGCTTTTTATAAGTTCCACATTGAAGTTGCCACCTTCCTCGTTTACTTTGATTTCTACAATACGTACCAACCGGCTTGATCAGCCAAACAAAGCAACAAAAAAATAAATAAACAAATTTAACAACAATAATATAAGCTAGCGAGAATTATGTGAGAGAGAGAGGGAGAGACAGAAAAGGAGAAACACCAGCTGTTAGATTTTAGCGCTCAGCTGTGATTTTCCCTCTTTCATTGCAAGAAGTGCATGATCGCTTCGCTAACCGTTGTATGCGTTCACCGCTCGAATGCAACTTTCGGGCTCTCACTGCCTTCATTCGCAGCTTTAGCGAACACTTTGCTTCAGTCACAACTTTGCCCTACTGTCGCCAGCTGGTGTCGCGCTTTGCTTAAACGAAAGTGATTTAATTAAAAATTATTATTTGAAGTGATATTTTGTGCTTTCCTTTCACCTGTCAAGCGTAGCGCAGAAGTTGCGTTTTCGCTTTGCTCTTCAGTTGCCACTTCCTTTAAATACTTTTGTTTATAATTTCTTCAATCAGAAACGAAAACAATAACGTTTGCTGCAACTCATATTGCAAATATAAAAACAACAACAACAATTTGGTATATTTAGTATAACCAGTTTGTTAGTAGATTTCCATTTGATTGTGAAGCGCTGGCACACTTACCAACTTTTTGGACAAAGCCGCTGACTGTTAGACGCTCTTGGCAACTTTGGTGATTTGGTAATAAAGTGATTCGGCATTTTGTGCTTTTTTGTTGTTGCTTACATATAACGCGTACGTACGTAATTCGTGTGGAGCGTATTTTTTCGATATTCCAACTCGCTTGAATACATAAAACATATGTATTTGTGTATAACTAAATGTGCTTGTTGATAGCCATTAATAAAAATTCATCAAAAATATTTGTAATCAAAGTGTAATTAGAAACGAAAACTAAATAACGTGTGTAGGTACGGAGAGTGTCAAAGTGCAAAAGCAACTTTCATTCACCAGTTTCGAAAAGTTCAAATAAATAAAAATAATTTTTTGGAAAAAAAAAAATTGTTGAAAGTTTTCTACAATAGTTTGTGTCAAGGTGCTTAATAGTCGCGCACAAAATGAGTTCACTCTCTTTTATGGATATGTTAAAGCTGACCTTTAAGTGAGTTCAACAAAATTGCAAACACATATTTACCTAACATATACATACATATGCTAAATACTTACATACATATGTGCATCTAATTATATACATATACATATTACCGTTATGCTAATGTAGCTGAACGGAAGTGTGCGTGCAGAGTTGTGTATGTATGTGCGCACATCCGCTCGCTGCAAGAAAATTTGCACAATGACCGCAAGCGAGCGCGCTGACACGCAGCGGTCGCTGCTGATGGCAGGTGGTAAATTACAATAGTTTTTGATTTTGTAATAATGTACTAGCGTGCCGTTTCTAAAATTTCGCAATTTTTTGAGTAGTTGCTGCTCAATTAAGTGAATTGAAATTTTCCAAAAAATAGGAAAGTGATATCCGGATTTTATCGAAATAGTTCAGTTTATTTTTACGCTCAAGTTCTTTGTTTGGTTCACATAACCTCAGTTTCGTGAAAGCTCCACCAAGCTGAGATAACTGTACGCTAATAAATTGTTATTAAAACGAAATTTTGAACAGAAATTTGTGCAATTAGCTTTATACCTAAACGTTGAGATTAACGTACAATGAACTACATAGCTTGTGCTTGTCAGCATCGTTTTTAAATTTTATGTGAATATTTGAAAACAAAGAAACAACCTGTCTTTACAGCCAATTTAATTCAATCCTAATCAAAAACGCTCGAATTCTGGCTGCAAAGTCCAAAATTATTGAATCAAATTGATATATGAGGAGTTGTATACTAGGAATGTATAATATATATATATATTTTTTTTTTTCGTTTTTTAAAAAGGTCACTTTAACGTCTTTTTTGAATTTGAGAGTTCATACATATGTATTTTCATTTAATGTCCAAATATTTATACATCACGAAGTGGAACTTATCCAAAACAGCGGTCACACTTTTTCTTGATTTTAAACAGCATCTTCCGCTAACCTAAAGCTATTTAGAGACGCTGAACCTAAACCATTTTTAGACACTAACCTAAACTATATATAGAACCTAATTTTCCATGATCTAATTCTTCACTTTACTCAAGCACCTGTAGAAAATCACTAACAAATCATACAACTGATAGCGTAGAGTGCTAGAATGTAGATTCGCTTGAAGCAAAATATACGAGCATTTATTCATTAAATTATTTTCAATTACAAAAAATCCTAACTAGCCGTAAGAACTACAGCAGCTGAACATTCAGTAAATAAAACTAGTGCTTTCAACTACCTTCTTATCAATATAAAAGATTATTTCGCACCTGTTTATGCATTTACTTTCAGATAAGATAAAATTCAGATAGTCGAATTGAAAATAATGGTTTTGATACATTCATTTGATTGGCAGGCACACGTTTTACTTGCTAGGTTTCGCCAGAGTTATTACTATTTAATATTAGATTGTCAAAAAAGTCTTGCGGTGTTTTTATTGAATTTTCCATTATTCATAAAATTTTTTTTTGATGCTCAGCTCTTGACCGATGCTACGGCTGCTACTAAGCTGGTCTCTTTCGACCAATTCAGCGATTTCGACGACAGGCCTTCCGGAGAGTGGCGCATCTTCGACCACCTCTACACCAGAACGAAAACATTGAAACCATCGTGGCGCGGTGGAAATGGAAACTGTATCGGGTCCGTAAACTGCACAAATTTTATTGGCGGCTTGAGATGCATTTTTGCCTTTATCGTAGTAGTACTGTAGAATACGCCGTATTTTCTCTTTTTTTTTGCTCTATGTTTGGCGACGCTATAACTCACGAACGACTTAAAAGAAACGACTACCAATCATACACGTGTTAGCGCGTGAAATGAGCTTTCCAAAAAGGTATAGCATGACCCGACCAACTAGCGAAAATACCGCAAGACTTTTTTGACAAGTTAATATTAAACTCAATAATTGTCATTTGCCTACAACTCTCGCTGAATATGACATAGTGAGTCCGCATAGAGCGAAGAGTTATATACTTGTAAACAATAGCTTACAAATCTTTAGTGAACAYAGGTATTTAAGATGCTACAAACCTTACATGACTTCTTCTTCCAAAGCATTGTTATATTTGTTTATATATATCATTTATTGGAGCGCAGCATACCGGGAAATCCTAGATACATTTCTTAACACCAGCTTGTAGACACTGGTACTTTCTGTTTCTTGGTTTGTGCTCTACGAATTAAAATGAACCGCAAAATTTAAAAAATTAAGAGCGCTCTTGGAATACCAACACATTTTCCCAAGGCAGGGTTAAGCTCGGTGTCTTCAAAAATGATGGCCGTATACACTACGCACGCGCACGGCATCCACCACGCATTCTGAGTACACATAAACTCAAAAGTCAACTCGTTGTATATTCAATGATTCACCGCTTTTACCCACTTTGATGAGATTCACGTTTTTGGTCATGCAAAGACGACAATGCATATATTATTGTACAAATAAAGATGTGTCGTAAATATACGCACACAACTTAGCACGCGAAGAGAAATGTACGCTATTTGATGTCAACGAGCGCAGAAAATTTCCATTTGTTGCATTGTATTTATATAATGTCTAGTTTATATACCATACACATGCTTTACTGTATAAAGTATTCATAAACCTACAATTACTGGAAGTGCTACGATATCACTGGGCATCACTTACTCAAAGCAAATAACTTATTTAACTGTAAACTTAGATAAATGTACTATTATTGTAATTTAAGTTATGAATTTTTTTATACCCGTCGCCCTGCTCTTGCACAAAGGAATTATAAATGTGTTTGCTGGTAATTTAATGGAAGTAATAAAATAATCTACTGTTAACATATGTATAAGTATAAATATATGCAAATATAATATCAAGTTTCACAAGTTGTTATTGTTTTTCTCTAATTGTATAGCTGCGTTGATTGCATTAAATAACTTAATTATTGCTATTTTTTGTTCTGGAGTTATTACTATAGCAGGTGAATAACTATTTAGCGCCATATCTTTAAATAACAGCGCAATTGTAACTGTTTAATATAGGAAACTAGTAAAAAAGCATCTTTGCTTCATTACTTTCCAACTCGCTAAGCTTGAGTCGCTATGAGCACATAACACATAACTGACAAAATTGACATCCAATATCAGCGGCAAGGTTTTCCAGTTTTTAATTAGAATACTTTTGGTATAGAGTATAAATATAGCAGATGTAAACTCTTATAATCGCTTGCTATTCTATTTCATTTTGGTTATATCAGTTTTTGAGAGTTATACCAATTAAAGATCGAGTTGCCAACCTCTAAGCGTTGAAAGCAGATAATATCCTATGCTAAATATAACGTCATCCTATTCTGTCACGCGTGCTTATACCAGTCGTTTTCTATTATACCAGTTTTTTTTTTTTTTTTTTTTTTGTTTTGTTTGTCGGTATACAATTCCAAGGGATTGCACTTGAGGTTTATTTTGCAGACATAATTTCTTTGGAAAAAATAACGAAATTAAGGTTGCTTTCGCAATGTTGTTGTTCTGTCCAGTTAATAGAGTTGTCCGCTTAGTAGATTGTACTTAATAATCATCAACATGGGGTGACGCGTGAGAGAGCAATCACTGTACTTTTTATTTTATTTTCCCCCATCCTATCTTCTAACTTGGTTCGAACTCGATACAGTGTGCTAAATTTTGATAAATCGGTTCAGTAATTTAGAAGTCCATCGCGCACAAACAACGTGACACGTTAATTTTATATATAAAAATATTTATTATTATTATTACTTTTTTTTTTTTTTTTTTTTTTTTGTTTTGCTAATATTCTAGTTTACACTTGCAGCTGCATCATGAAATCCACTCAGTATTATTTAATTTATTTGTTTGTTTATATTTATAAACATTTAGAACAATATCGCCAAACTTCATAATTTCTATAATTTACTTGTCATTAAAGTCACCTAAATGCCATTGTTACTTGCAAGTTAGTCGCAAAGTGTTCAATAAATTCTAATTTCCTAGTTCAGTGTTTTTTAGCTGAGAACTACGTCATTACGTTTCGCACTGCGATAAAAACCAAGCGTAAGCGCAATTGTGACAAGCCGACTAAAATAGTTTTTTAGTCAACTGTATGACCAAATGAATGGTGCTGAAATGGAAATATGTAAAAAACTATTGCTATAATTAGTAAGCCGATTTTATGCATTTTGGGATTATAAGTAAGCGGTTTTGGCAAATGTGGTTTTAAGAAATTAATTAACGGTTTAGTATCGGATCACGCGGAAAGTTGTAACTAAAAACACCAAGCTCATTATTGAAAAGAATAAATAATTTTCAGTGTATCTAAATAACCTAATACACACCTTATTTTTAATTACGTCAAAGCGACTATGACAGATTGAATGCACTTTGAAGGGCGAGCTTACAACGAACTCAACAAACTAATATAAAATGTGTATGTAATTTTCTAAGTATTACATAACTGTTAATTAAGGTTATAATTACCGCAAATAAATTAGATTTTCTTAAATAAACTAATCGTTTGAGACGACGAAGGCAGGTATTATGTTTATGAACCATTTTACAATAATTTTTAACTTGGTCTAAAGGTCAAAGTGAGAGTCATCATGCGAAATAAGTCATGCGTACTCCGATTGGTTATCTCCGTATCAAATTTAATTTCGAATTATATGCCATACCTTATATAAGTATATTGTAGCTATCACCACATGTAACATGAAGAGAATAAATCGTGTGCACTAAGTATTATCGGGGCTGCGATTGTGAAAACTTTTATAATTGCTAATATTTATATTAAATATTTGAATGTAAATTGCTGACAGATAATTGGAACAGTTATTTCTCGCTTGATGTTGTGAACTTTGAACACTTATTTAATTTATAGACGTGGCGGTGGAAATGAATTATACGATGACTGTTCTATTAGCGTTTTGACAAAACATCAAATGTGAGATAGACTGCGGGACATGATGCGATATTTTGTTAAAATTAGGGATGTTCAATGATCACAGCTTACATTTTTTACCACAATTTTTCAAATAAACCCAACTTTTTCAAATACCCGGAAATACTAACCAAACTGCCACTCTTTAAAGAGGTAGTAGTTTCTCAACCCACCACAGAAATTTTGGTGAGAAGCTGAATGAATTAAAACAAATTTCATAATAATTCAGAGCAATACTCTCTGCTAGGCTTAAAATCTAGTAAGCAGGGCACATAAAGTTGTGTTTCTGCAACTTGTGTATGGTACCTAGTCACCAAAATTCCATAATATTAAGTCGCAAGTGCATACAAAAACATATACCTGGACATTTGCTATTGAGGGTGTAATTAATGCGCATGCATTTTTCCAATGTAAAATACGTTCCGAAGGTGAATAAAAAGTTAAAACTTCATGCATGTAAGGCAACAAAATGCAGTGATTTGCGAGGAGAGCATGACGAGTGAACGTGTTTTGTTTTGATTCACACCTCTTAGCAAGAAGCTTTAGCACTTTTTGTTTTATTTTGATATTTACGATAAGTTGTCACGTTGACGGGTTGTCGTCGTTGTTTGCTACTAGTAAATATGTAATATTTTTTCGTCTCGTCTCTTTTGTTTATTTTTAGATTGTTTGTTTTACTTTCAACTGTGTAGCGAAACCGCTAGACGTACTTGTTCAAGTTTGCACTTAAAGGCGCTGGCATGACAAGTCGTCGGCTACCTGTGCATGCCGGCACACCATACGATCGCTTACAGAAACAATAATCATAGCAAATATATTACATTAAGCGAAAAACCAATAAAAGTGGTAAAACACGCTCACTAAAAGTATTTAGCGTTGCAATATGCGCGCACTCGATGGCCATTGCACAAGCGCGAAGATTTATTTTGCGCACTGACTATATGTATATGTATATATAATGTTCCGCTTGGCATCGCTTGCACAGTAAAAATTTAAAATTTGCTTAAAATCGCTGTAAATAATCCGGCAACGTTTGCCGTTTGCATAATTTTTACTAAATACGATTTTTATTTCCGTTTCAGGGTCCTCGAGTTCAAATATGAACAAAGTAAACACACGACAAAAATTTATGAGGTGGCCAAGACCAACAAAGGCGAGGTAAAAGGTGTGAAGCGTCTCACCATTTGGGGCGATGCGTATTTCAGCTTTGAGCGCATACCTTATGCGAAGCCACCGTTGGGTGAGCTGCGTTTTCGGGCACCCGTGCCGGCTGAACCTTGGCAAGGCGTGCTAGATGGCACTGGCCCCGCCGAGAAGCCCCTACAGACGAACGTTATATTTCGTAAATACAAGGGATCAGAGGATTGCTTGTACCTGAATGTGTTTACAAAGAGTGTAAGTATTTAGATTGCTCCAATTGCAGTTGCTCAACCAATTTTGAGCTACGGGGGTGAAACCCGACCAAGAAACTTATACATTACTGAAGAGCAAATGCTCTGTTCTGTCTAAATTTCGGAGATACGAATTTTTGTTTCATTCTCCAAATATTTCGTTACTTTTCCCATTTTATTTGATTTTATTGATTCTTTGCAGATCAAACCAGAGAAGGCTCAACCAGTAATGGTTTGGATATATGGTGGTGGCTTTCAAATAGGAGAGGCCACACGTGATATGTATAGCCCAGACTTCTTCATGCACAAGGATATCGTGCTGGTGACTATTGCCTACCGTCTTGGACCATTTGGGTTTCTACGTTTGGATGATCCCAATCTGAAAGTGCCCGGAAATGCTGGCATTAAAGATCAAATAATGGCACTACGTTGGGTAAAAGAAAATATCGCAGCTTTCGGTGGTGACACAAACAATATTACTGTCTTTGGTGAAAGCGCTGGTGGCGCGTCCACGCATATTTGCCTGCTTAGCGAGCAGTCTAAAGGATTGGTAAACAAAGGCATCGTAATGTCCGGCAGCGCACTCTGCTCGTGGGCGAATGTACCAAACAAACGTTGGGCATATCGACTAGCCAAAGCATTAGGCTACCAGGGTGAGGATATCGATGCAGATGTATACGATTACTTATCAAATACAAAAGGACCTGACCTTGTGCGTGGTAATGGCATGGTGCTGACGAAAGAGGAGAAACACAATCGTACACTTTTTGCCTTCGTGCCAACTGTGGAACCCTATTGGACCGAACAATGTGTGTTGAGCGAACACCCGTATGAGTTATTGAAAAAGACGTGGAGCAATGACATACCGATCATCATTGGTGGCACTAGTTTTGAGGGTTTAATCTTTTATCCAGGTGCGTAAAAAATATTGCAGATTGAGTAGTGTATCTAAAATTTTCTAACCGCAGAAATAACACGCCGCCCCGCAACACTAGATGAAGTGAAGAACTGTAAAAACCTCGTGCCAATCGATGCCGGTTTCGACCGTGATTCGGATAAGGCAGAAGCCTGTGGTCTCCAACTCAAAAGCACATACTTTGGCGACGAGGAATGTTCGCGTGCCACAATGATGAAGTTTTTGGAGGTGAGTGTGTTTTTTATTAGCTCTTTCATGCCGCGAATATTTACTATCATCGTAACTCTTTACAAAACAGCTGAACTCGCATCGCGAATTCTGGGTGCCCATATATCGTACGGTGCTCGCTCGTCAACGCCACAGCACAGCGCCCACATATGTGTATCGCTTCGATTATGACTCGCGCGATGGTAATGCCATACGTAATATTCTCTGTGGTCGCGACATGCAGGGCACTTGCCACGGTGATGATCTCTGCTATCTCTTTTACGCCTTATTTTCACATAAGCCCCCGAAGAATTCCAAAGAGTATGAAATTACGCGCACCATGATTGACATATGGACCAGTTTCGCGGCGAATAGTGACCCGAATTGTGATATGTTGGAGGACTTGATATTCGAGCCGGTTACTCGCGAAGTGGGCGACATTAAATGTCTAAATATCAGTGAGAAAATAGAATTCATTGAATTGCCTGGCATGGATCAGATCAAAGTGTGGACCGAGTTTTATGCGCCGGGAAAACTGTGAAAGGACCGCAATTCAGGGGACTACCATGACTGTGTGGTCGTTTGTCTACCTCAATCTTATCGTTTTTTGGACAGCATGCTTTCGAACTTTTCTCTTAAGTGTGCGCTTCATACCACAAGGGATGCTTACAAGGGATTGTTTAGAAGCAACGATTTCAAGCAGGAAAATACTAATTACTCTCAGCTGTCAATTGTAAATATTATAAATGTGAATAATCTGCGTAGCTCTAAAGTTTAGTTTTAAATACAGTGATCCGGTCTATTTGTGGTTTCCTTCTATAGTGATATACTTTTAGTTATCATATGTGTTAATCTAAAAATAAATTTATGGTGAGATTTATACTGTAAAATGCGAGATTTAATGGAACAGTATGGGTGTTTTGAATTTTTTCTTTTTTCTAAAAATACTTAGTAAATGTGATTGTTTGAGAAAGGTAAATTATATAATTTAATTTATATTTTTATGGTCCTACAAACCTAAAATAACGTAGATAAAAAATATTACCTACTTCTGCTGGCTGAGGTATCGACAGGGCGTATGAGCGACTATTGTGCTAAGTGACATAAAAGAAGAGAAGGAAGGAAGGAATAAGAAAATTATAATATTATATGATCCATTGCAGTATGTTCCAGTAATTATTAAATTCAGTAGCTTGTACTTAAAAAGTTATTATGCTTCACAAAATTCTTCTGCTCAAAAGTTTTCGCACACCAATTCCACTTTATTGACATATACACCAATTTTATTCAAAGGCTACACAATTGTGAGCCTAAATGAGAAATCGCGCTATTATTAATTGCAAAAATCAAAGCAAAGTTTTATTTCATTGTTAGCACGAGTTTATGCCTCTCCTGCCGTCTACACATTCCAACAATGAATTCTCTAATTTGTATAGCTAATGGAAGGCAATTTCGGCGAGTTGAATTTTCGCTACAAAAAGATGGCTGCAGCAGCTTCGGCGTGTATACCTTGTGGAAATAATTGTGCTTATTATCAAAGCAAATTCACCGAACTTCGATTAGTTTAATTAAATAAAACTTTTCTCATTAACGTTCATATTTTATAAGTTTCGAAGCGAGAATTGTGCCATTTTTGCCTACTTATGTGCATTCGCATATGTATATGTATGTATGTAAGCAGAAAATGATCGTCTGCGCTGCTGTGAGCAAAGTTTACAATTTCAAAGTATTGACGCGCTTTGCAAATCGGCTTGTCAGACAATGTTAGCGGCACTTTCGTAGTGATTCTTTACGTTTCGCAGTCTAAAGGCTTTAGATGTGGAAATTGCCGTCTGCAGGTGGCAAGGAAATCGGTGTCCTTTCTATAGTGRCACTTTTTTTTGTCACTTTGATTGGAATTGTTTTAAAAAATATAAGTAGGGGAATCTTTTCATATAAAAGTAATTATATTTGTGCATATTTCAGGTAGGTAGGTAGGTAGAGGTGAGAAAACTCTATTTCTTATATATGCCACAAATTATACTTGGAGATATTATAGCTACAAAAGCAAAATAAGTTGATGATACTGTGATAAACTTTCTCGGAAATCGGGCCTGATTCGCATACTCTTGTATGAATGCTTATGAAACTGCGGTTTCATGACTTAGAAGGGCCTACAAAGTACATAATTATACTCGCCCACTTCTGAAATCCAATTGATTAAAAAAACTGTTTCATATTGGTATATGATCGACCATCAAACAACAGGACCCTTTGTGTATAAAAATTCAATAGAACTCAAAGAACCCACTTCGATATTGCACAACATGTTCTAAGGAACACAGACACCCGAATAACAAGTCCTAGAATATAAAAATGCAAATTTCAGATATTTCGACTTGTTTCACAATGAGTGTTATCCTTATATACAATCTGAGAGGGCTTACCCACGTTAGCCATTTCAGTAGTCAGCTATGAAATTTTCGTCATGAATTTCTCAACGCATTCGCTTGTAAATGTGCGTGGGTCGTCGGCCAACAAGGCGTGCATTAATTAGCGCCACAGCGCAAGTGTTCGGTCTGTGTACACGTAGCCAAGCTACACTCCGCGAATTAGAGCCATCGCCAGTGAACCGAGAGAGGTGCATGAATAAAAGCGACATGCTCGCGACAAGGGATGCTAATGCATTGAGAAAATAACCAACAAAAGGTAACGAACTCTGCCAACAACACTGGAGCGCTGCACGAAATACCGGGAGCGCCCGCCCTCATCTTGTGTGTGTTTGACCTCGCACTGTGCACTCGAATCCGTTTATTTATGTGCCAGCTAACAAAGCCCCAAATATGCGGTTTCGACAAATTCTGATGTCGCTGCTATCGACGTTGTTCCAGCTACACTCTATTGCTACATATTCTGTTATGTGAGTGTGTGTCTGCTGGACACTGTCCACTTGTGGCCATTTTTTGTTGGACTTACAGCGTTGTTGTCTTTTTGTGGCAAACAACCGCACGAATTGATGCTGTTGCACATAGTGAAGAGTCTGAACTTACTCCACTAGGAGTTGTTGTCTTTCTGCATTGGCGAACAGTAACTCATATGTATGTATGTATGTATATGTATATAAGAAACGCCTTAAACACTGTATAGAATTTATACAACAATCAAAGAGAGCAAAAGAACGAACTCAGGATGTCCAATTTTAGCATTAAGTTAGGTTATATTCAGAGACGGAGAGTCTTACTAAGACAATTTTAAAAAAATTCTTAGCTCCCTAGTAACAAAAAAGGTGGATTCAAACTCTCATGTCTTGACAAATTTTCGTGAATCCAACAAAACTCTGTTAAGTTAATAAATTCTGAGATCCAATGTAAAATTAAGTCTAAATGATTTTAATTTCCTCCTCTAAAGGAACTTTCTAAGTTGACAAATGGAAAGCTTTGACACTTTGTTGATGACCCCTAGCCACTACAGCATAATTCTCTTAAACTCTTGGAAACAGCGACCATTCCAACTATTAATATTAGAACCTGACCTACTGAATTCTAACAAAGCCGTTTGAGGAAAGGTTGAAGTTCATTAAGAAGAGCAACTTTGTTGATTCACATGGCTGTATACATAAGTATGTAATGGCAAGGCTATGAGCTTTTCAGGAAGTTATTCTCAGTTTTCATTATTATCGATCGGTATTCAATCGGATTTTTTCTGTTCACATTCAAAAACCCTCTCAGCCACATTCCAGAGCGGATGACATTCTCTCTGTATGAAGGTGTTTTTGCGACTCTCTATCGCATTGCCGACCATGAGAACGCCCAAATAAAGTAGAGTAGGTGACAAAAGCAAATATAAAGTTCGTTGCATACTTTAAGGCGACCACCGTACGCTATGCCTTTGTTGCTGGAAGCTTCTCACAAATATTGACAAAAAATATGCACAACAAACCAATGCCTTTGTTCAAGTTCGACAACAAAGTGACTTAGTGCAAATATCATTTATGTAAATCTATGTTTATATATGTATGTACATATGTATACCATATACTATATTATATGGTGTAAATCAATAACACTAATGCCTGCCTTTTTCGCAACTTATTTGGCATGGAAATCAGGGGAGGAATCGGGTAGCACGGCCAAAGCCAATATTTGCCGGCGAAGCTCAAAGTTCTATATTAAAATGTGTATAAGCGGCTGCGTCCTATTTTTGAAATAAGCACATGTTTACACGGTTTGTCAAAGTGTGCCAATCAATTTTTAGTTGAGAGCGTGTCATGAGGTTGACGAAGGCGGAAATGCGGTGACATAGTAAAGCAATAACAACAATTTTGTGTGAAATATTGCTACGCAGTTTTTATTGGTGAAGCCACAAAAAATATATTACGTACATTATCATATAAATTATATATGATAATAGTATTCCGAAATGCTTTTCATTACAATATAATGTTCAGGTTCATTGACTTATTGACAGTCAACCGCTTCAACAAGGTTTCTTTTTCTAGTTTACTCATTCGGATTTGCTGAAATATTTTCACATTTATATAATACAAGGTTTTTCAATAAACTTGTTATGCTTTCCTTAAGCAAAATTCTTAATAGTTAGGGAAATTCAAATGTTTTTTATCTAGTGTTAAGTACAATCGGTGCAATTAACTTCTGCATGTAACACCATACAAATGCCCTCCACGACCCTTTTTTAGGAAAAAAAATTCGACAAACCATTTTTGTCTAGTTTTTCCATTAAATCATGTGGTACATCATGAATAGGACGCTCAATGTTGACTTCTAAAGACTGCTATATGCCAATGACTTCAAAAAAGCCCGTAAGAAGTACTGTATTGGTGTTAAATCACAACTTCTTGGAGATCATTCATCGTCACAAGTTCTTGAAATAATCGAACTTCCAAACTTGTCTCGCAATAGTGCGGTTATTGCGCGTACTACGTGCCACTTAACCCCGTTTCCTTGGAACCAGATATTGTCAAGATAAACTTCTTCCAATTCATTTCGAAAAAATCATCGGTGCATTCGACCAGACCAAAAACCACATTAACCTTCAAAAGACGAGTGTATAAATTGAAAGCTGTCGGACCATTAGTTTGCGAATTATAATATCTAACATATTGAGTGAAGCAACTTTTGTTATTTCGAAAAAAGTAATTTCGCGAGTTGATAAAACATTACTTTTTGAAAGGAAAGAATAGAGTTCAAGTAAACATTTGGCATTATGATTAGTTTCTGGTCACTGTCACAAGAAAATCAACTATGAAGCATTGGTGGAGACATGGTAAAAGATGGTGTACTTAGTGGACGCCCAAAAGATGTGGTTTTTGTGAGTGCGGCTCGAGCTCACTTATGCCCAAAAACAACGAAGACTCGGAGCAGTGTTTGGAGTTGTTCAAGCATAACAAACTTGAGTTTCGAATATGGATAAAACGTGGCTCCAAAGTCCAATCGACATTCATCCGTGTAGACAGCACTTAGACTGCGCTCCAAAACGTGGAAAAATTCAACAGTCGGCAGAAACAGTTATGACGTCTGTATTTTGGGATGCGTATGAAAAAGAAAATACCATCAACGGCGACCATTAAGTAGCATTATTTAATAATTTGAAGGATGAAATCACCGAAAATCGACCACATTTGAAGAAAAAGTAAGTGCTTCTTCACCATGCCAATGCACTGCGTCACTAGTCAGTGTAAGCGAAGGCGAAAGTTCATGAAGTGGGCTTCGAAGTGCTTACGCATCCACCTTATTGTTCAGACACCGGCTATTTCCTGTTTTCGAGTCCTAAACGAATGCTAGGTGGGAAGAAGTTTTCATCGAATGAAGAGGTGATTGCCGAAAATGAGAGAATGAGATATATTTTAAAGCAAAGGACATATCGTACTGCAAAAATGGTATCGAAAAGTTGGAGGATCGCTGTATATAATATTCCACACATGAAGGGAACTACGAGTTGGAATATTTCAACTCTTACCGGAATAACAGAAAAATAGTCTTAATTATGAATGAAGCAACGGCAACTAATTTCATAAGAAATACCGGCAAACTAAAAATTTTGAATTTATTTTGATTTCAACCTAAGTGTAAAAATCTCTCACACACACACATGCAATTAAGAGAATATAGCATATATGTGAATGAACAAGTGTGTGTATGTATGTATGTATACGCCACCATATTGGCATGCATTAGTACGTTCTTCTGACAGCTCGCTTTTAATTTAACACAATTTATTAGCCGCATATGTGACCCGGTAACCAGGCATCGTTAGGCAGTAACCGGCAGCGTTAGGTTGCCGCACAACGAGCAATGTCAATTCATATTGCTGGCGAGCTAGTGTACTCTAACCACTACACCCACATATGCAATGTATGTGTAGGTGCATATGTGAGCGACTTGTAGTTGCCGCAATTGCTAAGCGGGCTACAGATGTGTGTGTGCGCCACACACATTTACGCTCACACTCACTTCCAATATCAGCCATGCATTGCACTTCATTGGTGTTTTATGAATAAAAAAAACCCAAAAACAAAAGCAACAGCTTTAGCCAGAGCATTGCTAGGGCTAGATAAAAAGCGAATAATATGATAAAAAGCAAAGGAAAACAGGGCAAAAAAAGCATAAAGAGCCAACCACACACAAGTTGCCACAACGCAATGTGCTAGCTTCTGTTGTCGTTGCATGTGGTGCGCTGGCAGTCAGCTAGCTAACGAGTCAACCAATTGACAGTGCATGGAAAGGCGCGGCTAAGTCTTAACTTAAGTCGAACTAAGCGAGAGAATGTATGAGCAAGTGGCGCTCCCACTACGCCTATGCATAGGCAAGCTGTGGTACACACAGAGAGCGTAGAGCGGGAGGAAGGACCGTCCGTTTTACTAAATCTCACATAAAGCTGCACTTAGCTGGCGGCGGTAGGAAGGAAGTGAAGTGAAAAGCGCAGTCAGTGCATGCGGCCAAGATTATTGCAGTCGCTCGTAAATTAAATAAAGTTCAAATGGTGGCAATTAATATACTTAAAAAGTTAATATGCAGCATGTAGCTTCACGTAGCTGTGCTAGTGCGCGTGACTACATGCGGCCGACATGGCGTATGAGTGGCGCACGTGTGCGAAAGCGTATGTGGCACGCTATGTGCTGCAAGCAATTCAATTAAAAATACAGACACAACTATACAAGCGTTGTCTACACTCTGGCGAATACGCGCCAAGTTTGAGTTTGCATTTAGTATTAGGGTGGGATGATATAAAAAAATTCGAAACCTTTGATACCTACTGTGTAGTATTATTTGTTGGCAGTTGAAAAACACACTTTTTTTTTTTTTTGCTCTAAAATCAAAATGTTTGTTAATATAGTCAAACAAACACACAGTTCCTGAAATAACGACCCTCCCTAATGCTGGCACATACAAAATTGCATGCGGTGGTGTGCAAGTTGTTGCAATGCTCTTATTATTTCCTGCATATTTTCAGCAACGCCGTATGCCTGCTAGCGGCAACATGCTTACTAATTGCTGTGGTTATGCAATTCTCAAGTCTTTTTGCACAATTTCTTTTTTTTTTTTTTTTTTTTTTTTTTTTTTTTTTGTGGCAGTGCTCATATAAACTACCAGCGAAATGTGCGCTGGCATTACTTCTCTACTGCCCTTGTGCTATTAATTTGTTAACAGTTGGGTTGAATCCCTGTCAGCGTGAATGCATTGTGACTGCAATTACTAAGGTCACGAGGGTTGGGAGTCATTCAGTTTAGTTGATTTGTACGCAAAAGCAAATACAGATGCATCAATCTGTGGAAAATTCTTAATAATAATACTCAGAAAAAGTTCATTCATTATGCGACAAGCAGAGTTTAGCATTAAAAGGCTGCAGACACGTAAATAGAAAGAGAGTAGCAAGTCCAGCGTAGTATTTTCTCAAACTAGAATATGGTCAGATGTAGGCTTTTATGTGAGTTGAAAACTTAGCGTGTGCTTAGTATTGACATAAAATTCTTTTAGCATAACATTTCAGAAAGCATATTAGCTGGAAGAAGATGATAGATTTCACCTTGCTTCATCACTCAACTCACTTACTATGAACCCTTAGTTTAAAAATTAATTTAAAACTGGGTTAAAGTTATTCTGTTCCATAATAAGCAAGAAATCTACTCCCGCTCTATCAAGGTATAAAAAAAAATTTCAGTGAATATTCGGTTTTATTTTTCGTATTTTCACAGCATTTTTTCCAATTTAAAGTATGAATTTTTACGCGAGAACGATACCAGTACGGGCTGAATTCTAGTTTTACTCCACAGAACGCTATTTATCTCAATATTTCTAACAGACAAGGGCAAACTGCCATATCATTCTCAAAATGTTGACTGTATTAAGTATTAACTGACAAAAAAAAATTTTACTTTTCACATGCTTTCAAAGCAAGTATGTGCGACGGTGCGTATGAGCAACATTCAAGACTATATTAATATAAAACCGAAAAATTTCTCAACTCATTCCCAACAAATTTGAATTTACAAATGACAACAACTTCATTAAATAGTTTCTGAATTGCATTTATTCAAGCTGAATTATGCTGACTTTCTCGCCGCAAAGTTCATTCGTTATCCGCTCCGCTCGCAATAAAGCCAACTGACCACTACACGCATTAGCTTATACTTACAACATTCATACACATAATAGCTGCCGCCATAAGCCAACCAATCAAAAATTTAACAAAGAGTTGAATCAACTTTTCATTGGCACACAAATAGACAAACGTCCACAATTTTAATGCGGACAGCAGACAGCAAAGATTTGTGGTCGACAAAAACAAAAAATACCGCGCACAATAATAAGCCTGCTGCGAATTTCAATTTATACACAATCGTTCATATGCGTCCTCACGCGCCCTTGCTCCGTCCACAATCAGTGGATATCAGTGACCCATTGCAAGGACGAAAAGCGCTCATAGACGTCGGTTAATACAGTGGCAATAAAAATGCGCTGCCGCTGAGTAAAAGCATCAAATATGAATATACATAGGCATTTGTTTGTTATTTGACAATTCTCTGTCTCTTCGTTCACAGCTTTCGCTTATTATTTGCTGACTTTTGGCCATTTGGGCGCAGATTGTGTCGATTATGACGTTGGTTTGTTACTTTCGTGATATTTTGTTTATTGTACACTGTCTGGAAATTTGCATAAGTTCATTGGATTTTGAATTTGTTCGGAAAATGAAATATGTGGCTTGAGGAATTGTAAAGTCAACCGGGATCAGTATGTGGGAGGATACTGTGTCGGAGTGGAAAGGATGTTTAATTGAGATACGCAGCTTCAAGATTCATAGAATTATTTTGAGTTAATATTATAAACTTTTAGGGGATCCGGGATCTACAAATCAAATATTGAAATATATCTATCTTTGAATACAAAAAAAAAGAAAAAAATTAATATAATATAGGCCACTACTTCCGAAGTTGCTAACCCGATTGCGAATTGTATTGATGACAACGCTTGTCGCAAACTGCTTACTCTTCTTTATAGGTCTATAAAGTGAGCATACACACATACATACAAACTTATATTATGCTTACGCTCCAACTCCATTTCCTCTCTTTCTGTTCCTTCAGATAAATTTCTCACTTTAAGCAAGCTGGAAAACAAAAGCAAACCATGACTGCGTTAACGAATCCAAAATAAGAGTAAAGTTCACTTTCCATTTGCTCGGTAACCTCGATAGTATGTGAAGTATGTGACCTACTCCGGCTACTGCACCATGTTTTTACACGAAATTTATACATGAGCCGGCACTTATTTATAGCAGCCACTCCGGCAAGCACTTGTGTCTGGATCACGAGCTACATAAAAGCCGCGGCAGTAAGTATAAAGACCGCGCGCATTTCGGTGGCCACTTTTTACATTCCATTAATTGATATATTGTATTCGTTTTGTTGCATTTTCGCTGGCAGTGAAGCGATTACATGCGATAGACTTGTTCTTATTTACCTTCATTTGGCAGTTATTTATTTTGTTGCAAGAGGCGCCCTTAGCTACGTACCCAATAGTAGATAACGACTTGTACCTCGTGCCGTAAGGTGAGTGAGCAAGTGAAGTTTTTACACACAAGACTCGTGCATACTTGTTGTTGTGAATATGTGTAAGGGCAGGTAGTTAAATATAACACTTTATATATACACTTTAAATGCGCTCCGGCGCTTGGCTATGCGGCACGTCCACTTGCCTGATAATTAATAAAAAAATGTTGTGCAACATTTTTCACCGATGGTGCAACATTTTAATTACGCATTCAGTTGGCGCATTCAAGAATTATAGCAACGAAGCAGTTCATAGCGTGTAAGGATGTAGCAGGTTCAAAAATAAGAGCGCTGCAAAAGATTTTTGAAATAAAATCAAACCGGATCGGGATATCAATGAAATGTCTTAGTCCTGTGAAAGTAGAATCCATGAGTCACCATAACATCCCGAAAAAATCACGGTTTGGGTTGGCCCATCAACGTCATTGAGCCGCACTTCTTCGAATTCGCCTCTTTATTGGATGGTACATCTCTCTACGCTGAAATGCCAACCCCTACGAAGAAATATGTCAAAAAAGCGGAAAAATATGGCGTCATTTGCTGCCCCTAGGAGTCAACTGTTGTAGCGTTCTATTAAAAGATACTTAAAAAAAATTATTTAACCAAATTATTAAAGTTCATAATCATTCAAATTTATTGAAATAAGGGTTTGCATAAAAAATAATAAACTGCTGCCAAACATTTGTACGTACGGTAAAATGTCTACTAAAAGGTTCTTATACCCGTCTCTTTAAAACAGTGATCCCACAAGACGCACTTCTCTTCCTCTGGCCATGTGATAAAGCTCAGTTCATCGCTAATATTAAGACAATAGCGAGCATCTGCAGTCAGCGGTTTCCAAACCAAACTGCTTAGTTTTTCACAGTTAGGATCCGAATTTAGAGCAAAGGCTGTAATCCAATCTATCATGCATTCAATCATCTTAAACTCCTTCGAGCTACGCTCTAGCTTAAATGAGTCTGGCATAAAGAAGATATAGGAAAGATCATCTACATGGCATACACCACGCACTTCACGACCGCAATGGTTTATCCGAAACAAGTTGAAGTACGGTGAGTCAAAGTCGAACTGTCGTTAACTGTAACGGTATGCAGAAATAAAATTTCATATTACAATATGAGTTGTTAATAAATAAGATTGTGTTTCTAAAGAATTAGAAGCGAAATAAAGGTGGTAAGATTGACAAATTTTAACAAATATATATTTATTTAATTTTCTCAAAAATCCTTTTAACCTTTTTAGAGAAATTCCCAATTTTGAAATAAATTTACTTACATCCATAAGGTCAAACGATTGCTCAATATCTAATTCCTTCTCACCTAAATGCAGGCGGATAAGCTTCTTAGCGAGTTGTTGTTGTGTGAGCATATCATATTTCTCTCTGACTTCGTATGGGAGCAAGTACTCAGGATGCTTTCTGAGAGTTTCATATAGTTCAGGTTCCTTGGTGAAATATTTGTAATTCATAAGACCTTCAAATGAGCTGCCTCCTAACACCAGCGGTATACTATGACACCAAGATTGCTTATTGGCATACAGATCAAGTAGGTCCTTGGTCAGTATAGCATCTGGCGCATGCTCATTTTCGAGCGTAGGAGAGAATACAGATTGATGGCCTTGCTTCTGTTCTACTGGCGTCAAAATTTTAAGATCGCAAAGGCGTTCTGCCGGTAATGAGCTGAGATAGGCAAGTATGTCGTGGTTATTCTCTTGGCCTTTATATCCCAAGTGCTTGGCGAAGCGATATTCTAGTTGGGGAATGCGGCGCAAGTGCATTTGCATGCCGGAGATTAGTATGACTTTGTGGAAGAGATTTTCACATTGCGGCACATACATGAGCATTTGTGCTGTCGCGCTGCCTGAGCTGTGTCCGAATAGTGTTATATTATCGGGATCGCCGTTGAAGTACTGACAATTTTTCTTTATCCACTGTAGTGCCATGACGATATCCTTGAGGCCCGCATTACCGGGCACTTGAAGTTCGGGTTCCGGAAAACTGAGGAAGCCTAAGTGGTTTGAGGTGAAAAACTATTTATCTTATTTGGTTCTTTCTAATAAAGTATTAAGTACTTATTTCCTTCAAGACTTTTTCTTAATCCAGGCTTGTTTCGAATTTTCATATATTTCGACACTTACCTAAAGCACCTAACCGAAATCCAATTGTTATATATACTACATCTTTCATCATTAAATAATCCGGACCCCAACTGTTACGCGAGGCATCTCCAATTGCAAAACGTCCACCAAGCAAATAAGCCAACACCGGTAAGGGCTTTGCAGAACGTAGCTAGGTTTATGTGACATTAAAATAAATATTGTTATGCAATATTTTATTGTATTTAAAGAGTTGTCAAGCTCACCTTCTTCGTAAATACATTTAAATACAGGCAATCCTCAATGCCGTCTATCACGCCGGTATAATAATTCGATTGGATACACATCGGCGGACATATGGTACAGTCGCGTACGCCAAGCCAAGCCTCGACCGGCTGTGGTGATTTGAAGCGTAATTTACCAAGTGGTGGCTTCGCATAAGGTATGCCATCGAAACTGTAATAGGTGTCACCGTAGATACCTTCACGAAGTTGACCTCTCACCTTGCCACTTGAGGTGGACACTATTGGCTCTAGAATTCTTAAAAAATTAATTTGATTAACCGCCGGTATATGGTCTATAACATTTTACTCCCGATCGTCGTGCGACTTACTGCGAATCCATAATCTTCGCAACTAACTGCTACGGTGTAATGATTAAAACTGCGGTTGCACCTGTGCCATTTTTTGCTCCTCCGTACTCGATTTTATATCTGTTTCGTGAGATGTAATATATTTAGATTTCTTTATTTGCACAATGTGCTATTGTTTGCTCAAAATAGAATCGTTCAGGTTGTTTATAAAGATTATAAACTATTTGTTGTGGAGAGTGAGAGAAAAAGTGTTTGCTTTCATAATTTATTAAATACCACCATAAATGTTTAGACTTAGTAAAGATGTTATCTTTTCTAATGGATCGAGCTGCTTAAGATAACCGGAAATTAATATAATAATATAAAAATTAAGCTGGAGATACTTCACGGCCACTGTTTGGTACAAGTAAAGCCATTTCGGAAGGGAACAGAGCTAAACTATCATGATGAGGGGTCAGTGTATCCAAACTAACACCATTTTTGAACGCATTGATTGTAATTTAAACGGGCATTTGGGTACCCCAAGCATTGGCAAACAGAGCAATCGGTGGCTTCATTATAATACATACATGTTTCTGATAAATACGGTTCAATTACTGGGCCAAATGCGAATGAGCAATCATTCAAGTTCTCCTCTTTAGAAAGCAAGTTGTGACGTAGCTGATCGGCTGAGGTACACTCGAGTACATTGTGATTATTTTCAAAGCCGTTTTGTCCGGTGTGTTATCGTACAAGCTGAGATATCTTGTAAATATGACAATAATGTGTTTCTGTGCACTGATTGTAAGTTACTTTAGCATGAAATCAATGTAATGAGTTGTTTCGAAATGATCGAAACAAAGAGAGAGAAAGTTAGATTAGTTGGTCTCAGTGGGCACTTGCGAAGTTTGAAAGAATTTAAGTACCTCCCCTTGCATGGTATTCTTCGCAACAGAGAGAACATCGTTCATACATATATTCTAGGAGTGTTCTCTTAATACTCTCGGAAGAAAGTTTTTCTATAGAATTCTATACGAAAACAAGTCAACAGGTTCAGAAGCCTAAGAAGGTCTTCAAGAAGCTCAACATTAGGAGTCACTATTCAGATTACACTTCTTCATCAGCGTTTTACTTTTGGGCGAGCATGCTTTTGCCGTACATACTTCTTCTAAATTGTGTTTTACGAAAACTATCCTCAACTATTTCATTTCTGGAAGTTAGACTTCGGAATATAGAATTACAATTTCTTAAATTAGCTTTATTACAACAAATTTGGAAATCTAACAGCTCATTGAATAAGAAATTATAACGTCCCTAGTAGCGCGTTGCACGTAACTTGTATAACTCATTAAAAAGTTAAATGCATTTTAAAAATTTTTAGAAGTCTTGTTTTTTTTTGGATTTTAGTTAAGATAAAAAATTACATATTCGACAAAAAAATTTTGAAAGTATTATCGTCAATTTAAAGTTTAATGCTAAAAGTTTAAAGTTTCACTTCGTCACAAGTAAAAGCTTTCACCAAAGTTCAAAGTTTAGCTGATTTATTAGGGTTTTGGAGCTTCGAAACTTTTTATAAAACATCAATAATAAATGTAATGAAAGGGAAATGTGGTCAAACAACTTGTAAAGTTGTAAGAGTAAACGGCATACATGTACGACTACATACAGAGTGATCCGTAATCTGTGTCGGTACGAAAACATTGAATATCGTAAAAAAATACAACGGCAATTATTCTTATTTACCTAATGCAATTTAAAAACTATTTTTTTTCTTTTGCGAATGGTCCTTTTAAACATATTTCAACTTTCAGCAATCTGTCCAGTTGTTATTCGGCGATTTGCATCGACTATCGACTCTATTTTATGCACATCAGCTTCCCAGGACGTGGTGCATCCTCAATATCGTAACAACCAACATAGAGAATGACTCATGCTGTATATTCATTTACAATTTTTTATATTAACAAATTATAATTGTTTTATATCGTAAAAATTAGAGATCAGCTCTTTTTCAGATTTGAAATGTTCTCAATTTGAGAATCCCAATAAATTCAGTTTCATATCTCTGCCGCATAATCAAAAAGCTGCGAGCTTTCTGCCTTTCTTTTTTCTGAGTCAACTCAATTTTCTTGCGTAAAATGCATATTAAATTGCATTATGCTCTGAGTAAATCTGATATTTTTTTAGTAAACATATTTATAATGAACAATATATTTGAAAATTTGGCCTTTGTTGATTTCTTGCTGCATTTTATCTTCAATACTTTCATTCACTTCTACTTCTTTCATGCTTGTTTATTTGCATATATTCGTACACTCACTTATACTCACATAAATGTGTATGCATGAATGCCACATTATTCTTATACCAGTAAGACATTTGCTCATCTTGTTTTCGCATGCTGCAATATGAGTAAATACATATACATGTACGAGTATGTATGTATATATATTTATATGCTTATAAAATGAGCAACACTGCAGCATGTTTGATTTCAGAGAACTTATTAATGTATTTGAAGGCGTGTATATAGATGTTGGTTTACATACATACATAAAGATATGTATGTATTAAAAGGGTGCTCGTTTGCAGGTTAAAACTTTAGTTCAAAAGAAAACACGTAAAAGGCAATGTATGGTTAGCTTTTTGTTTTATATCAGATCTCAGATCGTTTAAAGCCTGCGCTGCTGGAATAACTAGTATTTAGTTTTGTATTATTAAGCTTTATCTTTAGTTTAAAAAAAAATTTATGGAAATTATGGCATCGAAACGCAGGAGAAGCCTCTTGAGTAATATGCTCACTCCGAATAGAGAACTTTCTCTTAATTCTACACATGAAATATGCCCCGTTCCTGAACTGTGCGAGGCGATCTGTAAATTTGTCGTGATCTGTAAATTGTAGGTACTGAATATACTTGAGTTCACCTTAAGAGCAGGATGTAGGATGTAGTAAACCTTCGAAACAGCACCCTATTTATGTTCAATTTCATATATATTTCCATTTATTTAATGCAATTTCTTCGTTCTGATTTTGAGAGCAGTTTACTACATTGTTAGAAGTACATTTTTGTTGATACACTGTACATATACACACATATGTGCTTATGTACTTACGAAGTACATACATGCTTGTATATGTATGTATTCTGATTTTCGACTTGTTTCTCTCCTGATTGCAATTTTAACTCAAAACATGAATGACTTTTCTACATAAAACATTCCATGTGTTCTCTTCCATTTTCTATGTTACAAATTTTCGATTTAATATTCACGTATATATATTTTATATACCATATATACAATATATATGTGATTTCATGTGCTTTATAATCTTGCTTTAAATTTGCATAGTTTTATAAAGATTACCCAGTGAGAAATTAAAGCCAGGACAGAAAGTGATTTACGCTACCAAACATATGAGTCAGAAAAACGAACTGTATAATTCTTCCGAAGTATTAACAAATACGTAGTTATGTAACGCCTGTGTTATAATATTATTAATCGATATACTTATTAGAGTGGTTCGATTTTTTTTTTCCTATAAAATCGCGTTTGCAGGAAAGTTCCACAGTTCATTCTGAAGAACTTTGCCTAAAAAATCAGAGACCGGTCTAAAACCGGTTTATGAATAATCGGTTGTATGAGAGATGTATGTTATAGGCTCAAGAGCAATAGCATATCAATATGTATCTACATATTAAATTTCATTCGCATATCTCAAAAACTGACGAAAAATGTTTTATCGTACCTAAGGCACTTTGCCTTAAAAATCGTTCATAGTATCTTAGGCAAAATTTTTTAGAAAGATATGTAGAACTTTTTTTTTTTTTGACGCCCTGTAACTATGCATATTCCGCTAATAGATACTCACCGAGCCTGACTATTGCGCTTCAATTTTAACAGATGTAATGCGAAAAGTTTTCTGAAAAGTGCAACAACTGGGTCCAATTCATCACTTTAAGGACCTATACAAGCAAATGCTATGTGCTTGATTCAGGTTATTAAGTAAATATGAAACTAGTTGGGATCAGAATTGTTTACAACAAATACGACATAGTTAAGGAGACTGTATGGAGTAATTAAGTTAACCATAACTTTTACTTGACTTTTCTATAAAAAACCCTCTTCAGATAATGTTTTTGTTACATAACCTTAACTGATTAAATAACAAAATCAAAAAAAAAGTCGCAGTCTTTTGTAAAAAATTGAGTTTTGTCTTATCGAATGTGCTTCTGACTTGGATAGGGTTGTTAATTTTGAGCCTATTAAGTAAGTAATTTCACGAAACTTTTCGATAACTGTAAATATAATGTCCAACAGAATTGTGAAGGCCTTCCAAGCAGTCCTCTATTACCGAAATATATCTTTTAACTATATCAGAATTTGTTTCCAATCAAATTTTTCTCGCATTCTTTTTCCGAAAATTGGTATGAGCAGAGAAATTACAGAAATTATTCAGAAATATGGTATCCGCATTCACTCGGACCAATATTAAATCAATAATTTTAGACTGCGATCTTCCTAGCGCCACTGGTGTTTATCCGTTTTCCGAGTATATAACTTTTTAACTATATAGACTTCTGGAGACTGTTTAACCTTAAGATTATTTATAAAAAACAAAAAAAGTCCATTATACAAAAATTAAAGTGTCTTCATTTTAAAACAATATTCGGAATAATATTCACACTGGTATGCTGCATTCCAATTTATTCCTTCAAGGCTTGAATTAGGAATGTTAGGTGCACACATATATGCATTTAGCTTATGATACGATTCAGAGTGCATTCTGAGTTCCGTTTGTTTTCTCAAGTGGCTTTTGTAGGTATTTTATGGAAGAAATTTTAATGGAGATTGCTCCAGCACATGCGGTAAATCATGCGTAGATATGTGTGTATGTACATGCATACGCACATGTTCTGAAATATTTTGGATATCTTCGAATGAATATCAAATTTGTTATGCGACTTTTAAATTTGCTTTATGTGACTGTATATATTACATACATGCATATATCATATATATTTGAGTAAAACTAAAAAAGAACGCGTTGGAAATGCAAATCTTTAGAAGAAATTGGCCAACAAGAAGTTGAAGAATAGAATTGTTCAGATGTTCGCAAATGGTTAACAATAA